AATGAATGTTAAAAAATTACCGCGGAATAATTCAATTATAAGCAACATAAAAAAACATGTATAGTAAACATTCGGTGATTTAAGTATAAAAAGTCTTTCATTTTAGATTGCCTGGCTTCGAGGGTGAATTCCGAGTTTCCCTTCTAGTAGTTAGTTCCACCCTTCGCCGTTGCCGAAGCGGAAACTATTAATTCTTCAGTTCAGGTTGCGCGATTTTGTAAAATATTGCTGCATGACGTCGGCGTAAATAATAAATCTCAGGCAGAACGTAAGAGGGGATGAGAATTAACCTGGAAATCCTGCGGGGAAGGCGATGACTCCTTCGGCTGGTCAAGGCTAGGACTCCGCGACGGACTCGGCGCTCTTGTGCCTAGCTCGTAAATGTTGATCATGTGAGCTGCCTGGGCGTGAACCATCAATTCCCAAGCACTTGGAAAGGATAACTTGCAGAGGACGCAGAGCAACGCCGTCGTCGAGTCTCCTGTTCGTGTGCAAGTGCGGAACATCAATAAATAAGGTAAAGCCATAGTTGTCATGTCACACAGCGAGCCACAGCGAGGGCAAAATAAGACAAACTTTAGAAATTGATTTTTTGAAAGATTTTTTTGTCATGTGGAATTTATAAATATTAGACTGCTCGATGGATTTTTAGTCGAGTTATAAAAAAACAGATTATATAATCTGTTAGTGTCATTAATATAAATTGCTCGCGCGTTCGAACGCGCTATAAAAATTTTCTTTATCTAAGTTAAATATGAGCCAATTATTTTTTTATTAGTTTTGTCTCATTTTATCCTTTTTGGATTTAGCAACATAATTCGAGCCGCCATAAGGAAAATGGAATTTGTACAATATAATACATTCGCTTCTTTTAATATAATACATTCGCTTCTTTTAAATGGAACATCTAAAATTGTTTGATTAACGATAATGCAACGCAATAACATGAAATATGGACATTTAATTTGTCCGTATGAACGGAATATGATGCGAAACGATTTTACACGGTGGTTATCTTGTTTGTACAATTTAATTTGTCGTGTAAAAAGGCAGAGATTTGTCATCAATTATGTCAATTAATTAATATTAAATTTAATGAATGTAAATAATCTGTTTTAATTTAAATGGGATATTTAAGAGTTTTGGATCGAACAACACCGATGATATAGTAAAAAGTTGTCGAGCTGTGTTAATTATGATCGACGAGAGTAAATCGCTGATTAAAATGATGACGATGGATAATTATATTAATTCTGGATCTTCCGGTGGGATTCGGAACGCGTTTACGTACCGGAAGGAGGCGCCTCGAAGTTTATTTCGAGTACATACTTGGGGCGGCTCCGTTGAAGGTGTGACATTTACATGTGAACCGCAGCTTGCAGTAGTTCCGCTTGTGCTCCAACAGCTCTCCGAGTTCCGTGAACATCTCCCTGCAGTTGCCGCAGATCAGTATATCTGGATTGCCTACGACATACCTTCAATTAAACCTAGCCTTCATCGCACGACGAGGCTTTGGGACTCCGTGTTACGAGGTGGTAACTTATAAACTTGAAAATAATCATTACATCATAATAATAGTAATAACTAACTGCCACCACAACTAACCACCATTAGAGTATAACGATTTTTTCTCATAGAAAAATTATGTCAGGCTGATTGGCCAATTCGCCTTTCAATTTATAATTAAACTAAATTATAAATCTCAAAGTGAAGAAGAGGGAGAGAAAGCGAATTATTTATATATATATATATCGCAAATAATGAAGACGTTACATTGGTTCGAACGCACGGTACTTACTGTACACTTTAAGTTGATTCAAGTCGGGTATCGTCCCGGTATTTGCCATCGATTGTTGTTTCTGTAGCTTCGGATGCTGCGCTCGTGTCGGTGGCATCAAACGCGGTCGCTTCAGCGGCGGTGCTAAGCGTGGCGGAAACGCGGTCGACGCGTAATAACTGCAAACAGAAGGTTTGTTTTGCAATATACATTAGTATATGCATTATGTCAAATTTGTACGCGCGCCTGCACTCTCTTTCTCCCACCCTCCCTCCCTTCCTCTCTCTCTCTCTC